AACACTGCCCTTTTATTTGACTTAGTAGGCTGATGTTTATACACCTGCTTTCCTTATCAGTGAAAAGCAGCCAACGGTTCGTATCACTACCTCATCAACTCCAGTAAGTTATTGTTCACTCTAACTCTTTCTGCAATACAGCCACTCAATTAATGACCTGAGATCATTTTCTATAAATGAGATTGTTGAATGGTCAAAGTCTTTTCATGGCAGGCTTCCTGATACACTGCCCCTTTGCTCTGTTATGCTAAAGCTGTATGAAACAATCCTATCAGCTTATGTTTATCCTGAGGCTGGAATTGGCATTTGGCAGCCTTATAACTGAAAATTTCTTCACCTGTGCGTGCTGTGTGGTTCAGGTCTCAAAATGCCTGTAAACTTGATTAAACTTGTTCCTTCTCTGCCTTCTCATTTCACATGCAGATTGCTTGTGATTCTGAGTTACGTAATTCCTGGTTTCTCAATAAAGAAATCAGCAGGTGGTATGACTTTTTGTTTTCAGAGTAACCTCCCTGTGTAAAAATCTGGAGCCAGGTGTCTCTCAGTGAGTTCAACAGACCCAAGCATTCAGACATTCGACGTCTTAAAAGCCAACTCTGGTTTTTTTAAAAAAGGAAAATAAATATTTTCAAAGAGGAGCCAGGGCTTTTCACTATTCTCTTTTGTTATGCAATTTAGAAACTTGAAAACTGAGTTCTTCACTGTTTGGTGATGATAGTTAATAACTGATAAATAACAACTTAAACAGAAGTTTCCAGATACACATTTAATATGTTCCTCACAATCCAGTAGAGCTATTTTCACTCTTTTATAAATGAGGAAACTTATACTCAGAGAGTTCTAGCAATTTATCTAAGGACACACAGCTACTGAGAGGAGAAGCAGGTTTCAGTCTTTCCACTCTGCCATTCTTCTTCCCAACAAAAGCATGAAAACGAGGATGCAGAGTTTTTTATGATTAATATCTTGAGAAATATTGAGTTTTCTATATTTCTTATAGTCAGAAATGCAGATAATTTTATGATTAATAAAAGTTCATTTGCATAATCTTAACCCAAGTGCATGGACACTGGCTTTTAATTTTTGTTATTTCAAATGAAAAGAGATAGATTGGGAGATGGTGGAAAGGGAAGAAAGAATAAATTAAATCCAGTTTTCACTGAAGAAGCTCTGGACAGGAAGAAGCCAAGTCTGGATGACCAGGGGTGAGTGTGATCAAATCAGCTTTAAAAACATGAATACTTTTAAAAATTGTAAATTGACGATTGTTGTATATATTTAAGGCATACCAAATGATACTATGGTTTATGAATACAATATGGAATAATTAAATCAAGTTGACATATCCATCATCTGAAATACTTATCATTTTTAGGATGAGAACATTTGGAATTCACTCTCTTAGCAATTTTGAAATGTTGTAAACACTATTAATAACTGTATTCACCATGCTGTCCAATAGATCTCAAGCAAGCAAACAAATCCGATGTATTTGTTCTAACTGAAAATTTGTGCCCTTGACCACTATAGTCTCATTTTCCCTCTTCACTTCAAAAAATATTTTTTTAAAAAATGGGAAGTTTATTAAGATTATGGATCTTATTTCAAGGCTGGTGATAGTTGCTATATGCAAGGTTCCTCGTGGTTTTGGCCCTTTCCTTTATCTTTTCTTCTTCCTTCACTTATTCATTCACACATTGCCTCAGTGTCTACTCAAGGCCAAACTTTATGAGATCTCAGGAATGTGAGAGTAATATGGTATGCATCTCGCCCTCCAGAGTCTTGAATTTAGGCTTCCATGCTGAAAGCATCTCTCCTGCCCTCCCAACAGCACTGAGAGAGTGGCAAATGTAGAGAATGTCATTGAAATATGATCTAGATATTTCCAGGGCCTCAAACAGCTTGGTACACATAGAGAAATTTTCCCTTCATTTTCAAATTTTGTCCTATGAATTTCCCAATGAACACCTCTTTCTACCTGATTGCTACCTTTTCTTATTTTCCTGGCTGCTGAACCAAAAAGTTCACCATCTTTTGATTCATGGAGATATAGTTAAGGAGGAGGTGGAGAATATTTGGGTTATTTCTCCTTCTCAAGCAACCCAGAGCCAGGGAGAAGATATACTTGTATTGCTATAATGAGTTAAACCCACATCTCTCTTCTAAGGATTCATTCTCATTTAGAACCTAAGAAACCTAGAGTAGGTAGAGATTATATCCTACACATCCTGGTTCCCATTAGTAACATAGAATATTTCATTAATCTATTCTTTAAAACCTTTAAAATACTTTTACTGTTTTAAAAATCATATATGTCTGCAGAACATACAACACCAAGAGTGAATTTAACATAAACTGTGGACTTTGGGTGATAATGATGTGACAATATAGGCTAATTGATTGTGACAAATGTACACTGAGATGAGGACATTGGTAATGGGGAAGCTGTACGGAGAATGGGACAGGAGATACATGGGATGGAACTCTGCATGTTCTCCTTAATTTGACTGTGGAATCTAAAGCTACTCTAAAAATTAAAGTTTATTAATAAATCTTACACACATTTATAGGCTTATCGTGCAAACTTATAAAAAGTGTAGGAAAATACAAAGAACAGTGTAAAAGTCACGTGCCATTATTCTGTCCCCAGGGTGAGATGCACAGGGTGAATGATTTGGTGAACTTTCCTCAAAGTTTCTCTGACCATGCCCGTGTGTCATGTCTATAAATTTCCATAAAGAGGGATGGGAGTGTATATGTGATTCATTCAATGTGTTTTCTTGTCTATTAATATTACTTCAAATAACTTTTTAATAACTGCATGGTATGAATGTGGCATAATTTACCTAACTAGTCTCTAATTGAATAGCCATTTAGAATCTTTTATTTGTTTAAATAATGCTCTGGTGACATCTTTTGCCTATTATAATCTTTTCTACATCTATATATCTTTCCAGTCCATACCATGCATGTCTTGGAGGGCGATGTTATGAGCTACATGGACTTAATATCCACCAAGTGAATTTGTTCTTCTTTACACAAAGTGTACACAAGTAGGCAGAGAATTGTGAATACTTCTAGTTTTAACACTTCTATGAGAGGAAAAGAAGAAGATTTGACTGTGAGATCATATATATAATGCCTACATCTCAGGGCCTTCCAAACAGTATGGGATCAATATTAACAGCTGCTAATATTATCATTGTAGATGTTATTCCTTTTATTTTGGTCCAAATCTCTTTCCTGAAAAAGATTGGAGCATGGCACAGGGTGACCTAATATAACAACAGAGGCAAAGAGAACCACATTTCTATTCCTTCAAAATTTCTGACTCTGCCATAATTAACTGTGAGTTTGAGAAATAAATGATCATCTCGAGGTTACAATTCACACCACCATCCTCTTTAGACACACAGTGAATGGCGTAAAACAGGTGTAGGAACTGTGACAATAGGCACAACTTTTCTGGCTTTTGACACATTATTAACTTGGCACTGACTTTCTTATTCTAAGAAATAACAAGGCACATTTAGATGTTTATACACAACATTCTATGTTGGAGTGTGGACTATCACTGTGATGGAGCTCCAGGTCAGCCCCAGACCAGTCCCAGAGCCTTCAGCAAAAGTCATCTGCAACTGTCTTCTTTATCCATCTCAACTGTAATGGAGAAGTTAAGAAAAACAAAAGCAAGCAAACAAACAAACCTCATACTGAAGTACCCCTGCCCAAATCTACTATGCTTTTTTGTGAGACCATGTGTGACTCCTTTTTCTGATATAATTTTGAACATCACCTTCAGGAAAAGACAATTCTTGCTATATTGGTTTTAGCTCAAATTTATTGACTCTGTTCTTTACCCAAGCAGAGATCGAAGCAAAATCCTTAAGATTCCTTTTGGATGCTTGCAGTAATGAACCAATTTTCAGTAACCTCAGGTCAGTAAAGCTGGAAAAAGTTAGATGAAGAGAGAGAAATTAAGAAGGAATGCTTGTGTCTATGGACACTTTGTTTGTGTCTATGGTAGAATTCATCATAAAATTATAAATAATCATGTTTTATGAGAATTAGAGGCAACAGACAGTTCTTATTAAATTTGACATTACAAATAATAGCAAATTTTTCCTGGTCTATCACTGACCCTCAAAGAGTAACTAGCTTCACCAGTCATGGCACATCATGAAATCTGTCACCTTCTTTGTAAATATAGTAAGACTGTTGAGTCAAAATCTTGTGCCATCTCAAAGAGGCTTGACTATAATTAATAACTATAATTACCATTTATTGAACACTTATTGCGTGTCTGGGGCCATATTAGGTTCTCTGTACATATGAGTCAATATGTATTTATTGAGAGCCTACTAGGTGCCAGGCATTTTTCTAGGGGTTCAAGTTACACTGAGTCCATGTTTTCCACAAGCTTTCATTCTAGTAAGAGAAGATGATTGACAAGCTTATAAACAAATAACAAACAAATACAGTGGACCCTCAAGTTACGACCGGCCTGACACATGAACAACTTGGGTTATAACCAGAATTTTAGTTTTAACTTATGAAGAAATTCTTGAGTTACAACCCAAGTGCCAGCGCTTGTGCTTCCAGATGGTATCAGATACATATTTAACCCTTAGAGTTCTGGAAGGAACATTACAACATCCTTTCCTGTGTGGGGTTAATTGAGAAATCCTGGCCTAATGTCTCTCTAAGGACACTGAGATCTGCCTGTATATAGGAGAGATACTTTGAAGGCTGTGTAGAGGAGCTGGTGCCTTCAATTGACCAATTTGAGTTACAATCAGCTCTCATGAACAAATTGAGTTCATAAGTCAAGGGTCCACTGTACAAAATATGGCCAGTGCTACATCAAGAATGAAAATAGGAGTCTGTCGGAGTCTGTCCTCTGAGCAGGCGTAGTGAAGGGGTTTTAGAAAGCCACTTGACCGATTATTGTTTCTTCTCCCTGTCTCCCGCCCCAAGTCTCTCTTCACCCTTCTCCCGCCCTTGCTTGTGCAGCCATGGCGGATTTGTCAGTAGCCACTCAGTCCCCGTCTGTCTCCTAGTCGTCGTCCTCCGGGGCCGAGCCGTCCGCGCCCGGCGGGGGGGCGGCGGCGGGAGCCCGGGAGCCTGCCCCGCCCTTGGGTCGAAGAGCTGCAGCTCCTCCTGTGCGGTGCACGATCTGATTTTCTGGCGAGACGTGAAGAAGACTGGGTTTGTCTTTGGCACCACGCTGATCATGCTGCTTTCCCTGGCAGCCTTCAGTGTCATCAGTGTGGCGTCTTACCTCATCCTGGCTCTTCTCTCTGTCACCATCAGCTTCAGAGTCTATAAGTCTGTCATGCAAGCTGTGCAGAAGTCAGAAGAAGGCCATCCATTCAAAGCCTGCTTGGACTTGGACATTACCCTGTCCTCTGAAGCGTTCCATAATTATGTGAATGCTGCAATGGTGCACGTCAACAGGGCCCTGAAGCTCATCATTCGTCTCTTTCTGGTGGAAGATCTGGTTGACTCCTTGAAGCTGGCTGTGTTCATGTGGCTGATGACCTATGTTGGTGCCGTTTTCAATGGAATCACCCTTCTGATTCTTGCTGAGCTGCTCGTTTTCAGCTTCTCAATTATCTATGAGAAGTACAAGACCCAGATTGATCACTATGTTGGCATAGCCCGAGATCAGACCAAGTCAATTGTTGAAAAAATCCAAGCAAAACTCCCTGGAATCGCCAAAAAAAAAAGGCCGAATAAGCACATGGAAACCAGAAATTCAACAGTTACTAAAAGATCGTTTAATAGTTATAACGTTATTACTTGTACCATGAAGGAACATGCTCAGTGTCAGCTTGAGCCTGCATTCCAAGCTTTTTTTTAATTTGGTGTTTTCTTCCCTCCTTTCTCTTTACCCTCAGTATCAAGCACAAGAAATGTTGGATTGGAAAAAGAACTGATATCTTAGAGCCCAAAAGAATAAAGAAAGAATCAAATTAGTACACTAAATCATACCTTAATGGTGATAGAGCTTTTACCTGTAGCATGAAAGGGGAGAAATCAAAGGTGAGAAAATTAATGCTAGAATATATTTCTCAGGTCCTTCTATCCAGTTTTCAAGGACTAGTCTTACACAGCATCCATTGTAGTTTCACCCTTATTTTTAAGTTAAGAAATAATTAACTTAGGAAGAAACTGTTTAAGGTCAGGAGTGGGATTCCTTCCGTTGGGTTTTTGGAGGCCCTCCAATCCCATCTTCCTGCCTCATACTGTGAGCAGCTACTCCTAATATTCCTCCTCTTATAATGATAACTTCCAACTCTGAATAACTTATAAGTGGTAATGGTAATTCCTGATTCCCACAATGCTATCTGAGAAGTTAGAGTGGAAAGAGAACCTGGGATAGGTGAAGGGAGGGAGTCAGCAGTGGCAGGGGCAGGAGCACAGCCTGGGCTGCCTTGACCCTGCTGCTCTTCTCTGGGGAGGGAAAGGCTCCACTGGCTGGGAGGGAGATATCCCTGTCATTCATTTCTCTTGGATGCCAATTCTGAGCATTCATTGGAGAATGTGTTTTCGAATGTGCTTCCCCCTCTCTTCCTTGACCACCTCACCCTGAGTTTAATAAATATGGTTGTACTTTCCTTATTATGAAATAAATGTCTGCAACTGCTGTACACTGCTGTAAACTTGTTAGAGAAAAAATAATCTGCGTATGTGCTCCCCAGTTATTGTAATACTCAGTCTGCGGGGGAGGGGGAAACATTCTCAAGAGATGAACTTACAGAAACACAAAAAGCCTTTTTATCTTTTCCTTACCACTTCCTTTTCACATGCTGCATCTTTAGCATTTATTTCTCGTCAGTTTAGCCTAAGGACCAAAGCCAAACTGGCTTGAGAGAAGATCATGTGCATTTGTGGTCCATGTGGACTTGTAACTGCTTTGAAGCTACCTTATGGGTATGTGTTATTGTGAGGATTCTTTCCATTTTCATAAAATGGCTCAGCACCTCTGTTGTGGCCCAGGGTGCTCCTTTGGAGAGTATTTTCCAGGCAGTTTTAGTGAGGGTGACCAGGCAGGGCCAAATTGTGTTGGTGGACTTTGTACAATTGAAAGACAACAGAGGAACTCATGTTGATGCTGTGTGGAATGGGACTGGGACTATTTCTTCTTGCCCTTCCACATGGAATTCAGTCAACTCAGAAGTAGTCAAAGGAGTTCTCAGGTTGTAGCTCATAATCCTGGCCATTCAGAAGGGATTGTGAGCTGGGACTTCTAAAGTAAAGGCTACAATACTTGATGGTCCCAGAGTACTGCAACTCTTCAGAAAGTAGTGGAAGGAATTTTCTTTCTACTCTTTGGAAAAATTACTTAGGAATTTAAATGAGTAAAAGGTACCCTTGCCTTACTCCATTTTCTCAGCCTCATTTCCTTTTGAATTTTTTAATTGATTTTCTGTGGTAGTAGGAAAGTCACTCTCCATTGCCATCCTTGCCCTCCCAGAAGTCAGTGCACTGGTGGTCCCCCTCCAAAGGATCTTTCTGTACTGGAAGCTGCCATACCTGGCTCTTTCCTTTTGTTGCTGCTGTGTTAAGATAATTGGAGAGATCTTTATTCCACACAGGAATCTTTTTTTTTTTTAAAGAAAACCTATAGACAAATTACTGATGAAATCGTGTGTGTGTGTCTGTGCATGCAACATAAAAATACAGTAGCACCCAAGGAGCTTGAATCTTGGTTCCTGTAAAGCTGCAAATTGATGTGGTTAATTTAAAATAAAGAACACAATGACTGTGGGAAAAAAAAAAAAGAATGAAAATAGGGAAATGTGATGGAAAGTGATTGGATGGTCAAGAAAGCCCTCCCTACAAGGGGTGCATTTAGGTTGAAATCTTAATGAAAGGAGGAGTGCCCCATTTAGGTGAGTAGGGAAAATTTAATCCTCATGACACCATACTCAGCTCTATTTGCATACGAAAATGAAGACCTGAGAGGCTAGGTAGCTTCACAGTCTGCTGGACCCACTGGAGATTAATTATGGCTGGTCAGCTTACAGATGTCTCTGTTAAGAGATTACAGAGTGTGGGCAGCACAAGGTGGGAGGGAAATAGAGGAGACAGGTGATTTGGAAAATATAACCTCAGAGTTTATTATTTCAGGTGTGACTGGTCTGTGTGCAATAAATTTGGAAAGGAAAAGTGAGCTGCCTTTCTGATGAACATTCAAAGGGCTTGCCCAGTAGGAGGGCCAGGAGTGTCCGAAGTCCATGAAATCAGGCCCAGGCTGACCTCCAAGAGGCCAGCCTTTGACCCTGGATGGCTGTTGGTTTGGCACTTTCTGCAGGCATCACTGAAGGCAATCACTTTGAGCTCTTAAATGTCACAAATAAAATAAACCTCTAAGAGGAACAGCATATTAGCTTTCCTTCACTATAATAAATACCTGAGATAATCAAGTTATAAAGAGAAAAGGTTTATTTTTGCTTACAGCTTGGGATGTTTCAGTCCATGATTAGGCAGAACCATTGCTTTTAGGCCTCTGGTAGGATTGGAGGTCCAGCACATCATCGTAGGAACATGTGGGGAACAAAACTGTTTACCTCATGTCTGGGACAGGAAAGAGAGGAAGAGATGATGGGGGTCCCACAATCCCCTTCAGTGGCACATTCCATAGCGAAAGGAAAATCTCCAGCTAGGCCTCACCTTTTAAAGTTTCCACTGCCTCTCAACAGTGGCAGGCTGGGAACTGAGACTATCACATGGTCCTTTGAGGGGAAATTTAAGGTCCAAACTAGAGCAGACTATGAGAAGACTAGTTCAGTCTGGGAGTTTTGTGACCTGCTCACTTTAACTCAAGAGAGCAAAATGTGAAAATAAAATTTCATTAATCTTTAAGCCTCACACATTCTGAACTCACTGCCCATCACTGTCCTTTTGGGGGGATGTCCATTTCCTGGAAGCTTGTGACCATGGTTTTGTGATAATATTAGACAATCTATTTAGCAAGGACTTGAGGTTTTGTTTTTTAAATTCTTTAAGTTGTCCAAGTCTAAATGTGAGATGAGTACAGAATGGTTTCTCCACAAATACAGAGAGCACGGAGGAGTGAATCCAGGTTGCAGCAGGCATGGGAAGCGTTGTACCCTCTTGGCTGCATGTCTCCTGAGGTCACAATCTCCAGTGTAACAATTTAGTTCCTGTGGGATTGGCTGCTTCCTATGACAACAAAAGGAATGGTTTCCATTCACTGTCTCTGTGTTAAAAATATACACATAGAGCTCAGAGGTAGAACATTTTCTCAACACTTGCAAGGCTGTTGATGACTTCAATCCTTAACAACAACAAAAAAATCAAAAGACAAATAATAAATAAATACATAAATAGAAAGAGTCTCCTTCCTTGACCATAATTACATGTTCTTACCTAACTCTCATTTCTTACTTACTTCTTACTTTGAGGATCTGAAACTCTCCCCGATGGGCTTTGGGCTTCTGTCTCTCTTTCCTATAGAGTCAACCTACTTTCATGAAAAGGAGTTCCTGTTTACATAGTAAGTAATACCATGCACTGTAATCTAGTACTCCTCAAAACAAGTCTGTACATGATGTACTTTTGCATCATCTAGGTATGTGTGCATGATAATGTATGTGTGTGTGTGTGTGTACACGTGCGTGAGTTCATGAGCATATCTGGTTAAAAGTTTGTTAAAAATGACGATATCTGGCTCCCATCTAGATACTACTTAATCTCAGCCCCTGGGGGTCGGGCCAGGGATCCATATTTTAGCAAGTACTGCTGGTAGTAGGACAGTGGCTCTCAATATTGGAAACGGAGTTATCCAATGAGATTTTAAAACTTTTGGTGTATATTCTGGTCCTTCAAGTCAGGCCATATTCTGGTTCATCAAGTCGGATACTCTGAGTGGTAGAGCTGAGGGATTCATAGTTTTTAAAGTTCTTTATGTGATTCTAGTGTGTAGTAGAGATGAAGTGTCTCCCCTGGCATAACTTGACATAGGACAAAGGTCAACATAGTGAACTCACCCCTTCATCAAATTGACAAGAATACAATCACTTCCAGTTTCCAAGGGCCTCCTTTACACTATTAGTCATAATTCTGTCCTGTAGCCATCTTCACAAGCTACGTGAGCATGAGAATCACTTGGGGAACTTGCTAGAAGTCAGACATTTGGGACCAAATTCTAGATGCTGCTTGCTTCAGCAGGGCTGGGCTGAACCCTAGGAAACAGTGTTTTTAACCTGCACCGAAGTGATTCTGATACAAGTTAGTTTTGGTCCAACTCTGTGAAACAACACTTTAGACCAGTGCTTCTCAGCTGGGGGTGAGGTCTTGCAGTGGATACTAGGACACTTGACCATGTGTGGAGTCATTTTTGGTGGTCACAACTGGTGTGTGTGTGTGTGTGTGTGTGTGTGTGTGCACTCTAGGAATCTAGTGAGTACAGATTTGGGATATTGTTCAACATCTTACAATGAAGAGAATCGAGGCCCCCATAACTAATGATAATCTAGCCCCCAATATCAATATCACCAAGACTGAGAAACTGTATTTTCACTTTATATTTCTTTTGATTCGCTTCTTTGTCTTTTAGCCTACCAGAAAAGAGATCATCCTTTTAGAATCTCTATTGCCAGGGCCAGGGATGTAGCTCAGTAGGAGGGTATTTACCTAGTACACATGAGGCCCTGAGTTCAATCCCAGCACTGTGAAAAAAACCAAACTTCAATAGTTATTTCTGGTATTAAAAATCAACAGGATGATTCCTTTCTCTGACTGGAGCAAACTTTCTTTAGACCAGGATCCCTGCCTCATTTACTTCTGAATCTGGCTTCACCCCTCCTCCTCACTTGATACGTAAATGTGTATGACATTTCAAACAAAACTAAAATACTCTTTGTGTCTGACCACAAAATGGCTCTGTGACTGGTAAATACC